GTCATGGGCTGGGTGTGTGGGGAGGGGGGGAGGGGGGAGAGGATGTGCTCTGCCATGAGGAAGCTCGGCTTAAAGACACGTCCCAGGGGCGTTTCTCGTCCCAAAAGGTGTTTCTGATCCCCACCTGTCGTTTTGCTCCTCAGCATGGCTTCCTAAAAACGCTGCAGGATTTCTCAAACATGCATGAATGAGTCAAAGCAAGGCTTTGGGTGTGTTTTTATGAGAGTATAACATTATAACATGATATAAAAGGCAAAAAAGTTGATTTTACATGATATTGACCCTTTAAACAACCATTTTGAAAGACATCCCGTGGTCGTGGAAAAGATGTCAGTCTGTTTGAGAAGGGTCAAATCACTGGCATCAAGCAGAGAGAAACTACTAAAATTGGGTTAAGAAATGTCCAACTGATGCATTATTAAAAACTGAAAGGATGCTTCCTTCATGCCTAGAGTGCCTACTGGGGTTGCTGCAGTTGGTCAGGACTTTTTTTTTTTTGGGCCAGGCAGTGTGTTTTGCTTATGCTACAGAYAAAAATATTATTGCCTTTTCCTCTCACCTTTCCAGAGCTGCAGGGACTGAGGATGGACTGAAGGCCAAATTGCGAGCTCATTGGGCTCATACAACGGGTTTAAATAGTATTCCCTTTCACCCGGTCTCAGCAGGGCTTGGAACAAGCAGTGAGTGGTCTCTTTAACTCCCTGAGCACACCTGAAATTGAGAGTCGGTTACAGAAAATAAATAAAAAATAAAAAAATACTGGCGCTATAGCATCTCTATACCAAGTCAAACCTGCGACTACCGAGCTGACCTTTCCTGGTCACTGTTGCACAGGAAGGTGCCGTAGTCCGAAGCGTAAACTTCCGTGGCCAGTCGAAGGAGCAGCGCCTCAGAGAAACCCAGAGCCAGAGGGAACTGACGCCACAGCTGCCAAACGCAGTCCAGCAGGAGCAGGAAGACCGGAGACTCCTGCTGGAGACGAGCGTGGGAGTAGGCCGAGCGGGCACATCGCTGCTGGAACGGGTGTCCTGCCTGAGAACGAGTCCACTCGTTACAAAAAAGACATTTACAAACACTACTGCTACTTCTCAAATTCTATAAATTAGATCCAGTGTTGTGGCCATGTTTTTATATACTGTATATATATGTGTGTGGAGCCACAGCTTGCAGATCTCTGTTTCTCTGTAATCTTTTTTTTGACAAGGTTTGGCAGCGAGGTTGAACCCAGGTTGCAGACACAACCCGAGAACTCCAAATAAATAAACTTTATTCAAACAAAAAGCCGACAAAACCAAGGAGCAACACGGGAGGACGTCCAGGTAACCAAACAAAGAACGGATAAAGAAGTAGTAAAATAGAAGCGGTTAAATAGCAGCAGGGTAGAGTAGTGGAAACAACTGGGCGATTAGCTACTAAGTACAAACAGGTGTGAGAAAGAATCAGGAGAAGGCAGAGCTGAACTTGGGAACAGATGAGAACACAGAACACCAGAGGGAGACAGAGCACAAGACAACAGATCCTCACAGCTTTACTGTTATTTTATTTAAAAAAATAATTTAGGACTTTTTTAGAACGCTCACAATAGTTGAACCACCTACCATCACAGACAAAGACCTGCTCATATTATTACATTTAGACCAAGCGAGGGGCTGAACGCCACGGTTATATTTGTCAAAGCATTTCCTGTGAAGCAACATCCTTTTAGCTAGAAACCTGTTTGAATGGTGTATCAGTATTGCATATGTAGGGTTTGTAGCAATGCTGATAATATTCACGCAACTCTATTTTGCATAGGATATAAATTCTCAAAACTTACACAAAAGCCTTTTGAGCTTATGTAATTCTCTATTGTCTGTTGTTTTTTTTAAGGAAAGAATGAGAAGTGGACACGTGGGTTTTGTCTACTCTGGTTTTTGCCACAGACCTAAAAAATGCAATCGTAGGTTAACTTGGTAACTAAATTTGTCACCAGGGGTGAGCGAGCGGGTGAATGGTTGATCGTCTCATTTGTTAAATGTAGCCCTGTGATGGTGCTGTGACCTGTCCTGGTGCCCCCCAACCCCACCCACACACAGTGACTACTGGAGAGAGGCAGCTCCCCCACAATTAAAAGTGAGCAAAGAAAATGGATGAAATTACATTATGTTAAAAATGATGATGCCTTTATTGTCATTGTATGGAGCACAATGAAACTACATATGTAAATACAGCGGGTAAAATAAGTATTGAACACGTCAACATTTTTCTCAGTAAATATATTACTAGAGGT